GATCTGCACCGGCGTTGAATTACCTTCATGCACGTTTGCAATATACGCCCGAGCCCTTGGCTCCGTTCGCTCTTACAATAACGTCCGTGTATGCTTAGGTCGCTGTCGGGACCATAACGCAGCGCTGCTTGTAATACACAAGAGCAAGCAAGGTAATCTCGACGTTTTTTTAAATCCCCCGCCACTTATATAGCTCAGAAAGACGTCACGCTAGATAGAAATAATAAGGCACGTCGACGTATTGTGAAACAGCCTTAATTTACGATCCCGAAGAGATCAACTGATTCAAGCGATACACCACGAAATATAAGTTATAATTCATAACCTATACGTCAGTCAATATTAACGGCTATCAGTTTTCGAACAACATCGCAGCGCGTAATTAACAAGTCGTAATCACGACGTTTCGTAGAAATCGCGTCCGCCCGTTCGGGTCCATCCCGGGTTGAGCCATCGGCGAGACAGATCAGAGTGGTACAAGTGTTTCTCAATAGGAACCTATTAGGGATCGAGTTCTCGTATCTGACTTGGATTCCGATAAAGGCTCGGAAGGCTGAAGCTCAAGATTTAGCCAAATCGAAGGAGTCCGAGCTATTCGTCTCCAGTTCCGAGCCATACCGAGAGCTGATACAGAAGGAGAGTGGATTTTAACTGTGCACCTGCTATGGACCCTGGGAGCGTAGGAGAGAGGAGCGAGCGAGAGGTAAAGTCTCTCGTATTTAAATACGATCACTTAGCCGCTATCTGGACGCGTAATTGACCGAATTATCGGAAAGGAGATAATTGCTCGCTCGCCATTGGGAAACACGAGGGAGATCTACTGTCTCGCTCACTTTCTCTCTCGCTCGATACAGCCGTCTTTCTCACTCGCACGCAACTCCCGATAACACAGGCTTCCCAGCCTCTTTAGCTCGTGGACGATCATAGGGTATACCGAGGACGATTTTACCGATAATTATAATGGATTCTCTAGGCACTATATACCACTATTATATATACCTACTTTGCCATTATATATCAAGAGCAATGTCCTATTACGTACATACGCATTCCACGTTAAATCCTTTTTCATTCTCGATCAGCTGAGAGACACTGTCTATACTATAGCGAATGTCGAACGATTGATTGATTTTTCTTCCGTACGCAACGAAGATACCGTACCCGGGTTTTCTTATCGGGACGAGTTCCTGACGTTTCGAGAGCAGAAGCCGGCAGTCTTGTATGTAAATATATATATATACTTATGCATGTCTGATCGGTAACGTGACGATTGACTTTCAATGGAATATTTGTATATCGATTTATAATAAATTTCGTTGGCTTCTCTTTCGAAGATCAAGGAGGCACTAAAGATTTTCAGGGATGATGGTGGTGCTGGTTGGTTCTGTTCTAGGAAGCCCCTGGGATTTTATATCAATCCGTGACACGAGCCGGATAATGACATTACGGCGACCTTGTTTCTCTGATTGGATTGTCGACGTGGGACACTGGGCACACGAGTAATATCCAGGTACAGCAAGGATCGGGATTGAAATTTTGGACCGGTTCGTCGATGATCTTGAAGGTGCGTGTGTAATCGAATGTTGCAATTTTCTGGAATAACGTAAAAACGCTAAGATACTTCTTCTGTTCGCTTGTTATTCGCATTAGCACATGTGACTGGGCTTTACAATGTTTGCATATTCGTCATACAGTAGGTCGTTCTTTCTCGCGGAACGTATCGCGTATGGCTGTAAGTGGCTTGGGTGCGCGAAGTGCGTGACGACATCGTCATCAAGGTCGCGAAATAATGGATCTTCAGGAAAATGATCCTAACGTCATTCCCGACGTGAGGATGTGTGCACTAGGAGCACTCCAGTTCGAGCGCTATTCCTTCATTTTTCAATGGTGGAGTAGCGCGCTATATCAGCCTGGATGCGCGAGTGCATCGGGATTACGCGTGATGCAATTTTTTGACCTCTTCGTGGAAGGCTGACATCCTCGAGGCTTGGAGAGGTACTTTAGATCGAAAGAAAAAACAAAAAAAAATTATCAAGATATCCTTCAGTCAAGTTTACACTGTCACTACGTAATTTACCGTGCGGAACTGTTGGCAGGGTTACCAACGTTTTAATAGTTTGTTATAGTGCGGGCGAAAGACTTGTAAGAAAATTTTGTAAAATTTTGAGTGATTTTTTTTCTGCCCACGTACCATACTTTCCATACTAAAAGCACCTACGACTGAACAAAGCGAATTGTGTACCTTAATAATTCAAATGTTAAACAGTTTGGAGTCATATATATACATATATATCTGTGTCAGGAATAATACGACTGACTAGATAAATTCCAGGAAAAGCACGTATTCTTAAACTTGAAGAATCATTAGTGCCCACTTGCACACACAAATCAGGCCTTGGTCGGGTTCCATTTCCCACCCACGAAACGATCATGTAAAATGAGAAAAAAATAATGACGTCTCAGCTAAAAAGAAAGCAATGTTGGCAACGTGGTGAAAATAACACGTCTAACCTACTAATTTTACATTTTGTCCAAATTGTTTTAAGAAATAATAATTACGACCTTAAAATTTCAATAGGTTCACGGCGTGTCTCCTATTCGACAGTCACGTATGAATAATACAGTGGACCATACACGATTAACACGGACAGACTATCGCCCAAAGTATTCTCGAGCAATGTATCAAAATGGTAATTAGTAATGATGAATGTGAAAAAAAAGTATAATAAAAACACGCGAAACGTAACAGAGACACTTCTGCGATATAATTATTGTCATTACTGGTCGAGCACAGCATCCGTATACAAGCCCGTACAGTAACGTGCGAAGCTACGTGTGTTATCGCACCTAAGATCAGTGAATCCCAGTAGAAAAGCGTCGCGGCGCTTCGTGTGTGGCACCGTAGAGAGACGTCAATCGGCTGTATCAAGATCCCTATAACTCCAACGAATACATTGTACCGTGCAACAGTGGCACATAGTAGACTTTAAAGGATACATAATAAAATGCCAATACAAGGCTATGGGTGAGTATAGAGAATACGTATAACGAAATCGTTATCAGATACGAGATATTTCGAGATAGATCTGCACATCGTATTGTAATCGCGAGTCTCTCTTATCCTGAAGGCATTTTAATGGCGCGCTTCCCTTATCTAAAATATGTCTGGTTATCGCACGGGTATCGTCGTCTGATTTTCTGGCTGACAATTTCGAGAAAACAATCGCACTGGTTAACGATATCGCAACCAAGTGCAAGAGCTGCTTAACAGTCCTTTGAACGGTAAGGTCTACGATTAATGCGTAACAGATTTGATACCGTTAATCGATGGTTGGTCAGATTGGCTGTAAGAGGGTGGAAAAATCATATGAAAAGTGATATCGTGTAAAGAAGGTAACGATACGAGAAAGTAAGATAAATTGTGTATATATATATAGGGATTGAAAGTTTATTGAGAAAGAAGCAGAATGAAGTTGGTCAAAATATGAGAAATTGAAAAAAAAAAAACAAGTGAGGATAAAAAAAGAGTCGATCGACCAATAATCGATAATAATTTTTCTTATTGATACTGATTCCTTTGAATTGATCGAAGTCGTATCAACAGGAAACACTATTTCGAGAGATCGAACCTCCACCGGAAGTCAGTAGTCATTGTAGCTCACTCGCGTATACAGAGTAGCGATCGGCAATCGCCGTCATGGAATGGATCAGCGTGGAAACCACGTGCTCTGTGATATTTTGGTCTACGGCCGTGGGGCGATCAACATTTTGACAGCTGCCTCGCGTCGATACACGCCGATAACAATAGAGAATGGTATAATAAGCAGTATATCCGAGCTATTCTTATTTCTGGGTACGGGGGCGCGATCAAGATTACCTACGTCACCGAGTACCAGCCGCTCGCGGCGCTTACGTGCGCGCTTACCGATGCCAGTAAGCGCAACCAGGTACGGCGGGGTGTACAAATCCCTGACTGGGGTTGAAATCTTGATGTATGAGAGAAGAGGGAGCAAAACGGAGGGGTGGTAGCGTTATGCGTACGGAAAGGGATATATACCGTGAAATCTTGAATAAAAGCCACCCTACGAAATTCACCCTCCTGGCTGGCAACCTAACCGCCGGATTAAGAGACAGGGTGCCGTTTCAATATTTTTTTCTTTCATTCCCTCTGTAAAGTCGTTGAGCTTGGCAGTTCTTAAGGCTTGATGGATATTTATCGAAGGGGTTGTAAAAAAGAAAAGAAAAAATAGTCCCTTCGGTTGAGAACCTCTGTAAGCATGGCCAAGGTGGGTACCGTTACTCGTCGATTCTTGGTGACGTGGGTAAAAGGGCCCACCGGTATTGCCAACACTGCGAGTGCTTAATCACTCTAACAAGTTTTCACGAAGAAAGATACACGTAGAAAGAATAATACGAAAAAGAGCCAAAACGCGTGCAAACGATTTCTCCATTACGAATCGTATTAGCTGATTAGGAGGAAAACTTACATTTGGCTCCGCGTTTGCCGATGTGGGCTGGTCAGATCGTGATGGGAGATCGTAATCCGAAATGGACATCATCCCAGTATTCGTTTGCGAAACTTTGTCAGCTCAGAGCCCAGATTCACCTCCGCCGCATGCGCACCAACCACCACCTACCATAAACCGAACTACTGCACACGCCTATCACTTGCTCACCCACGATTATCTTGGTCCGTTTTTCACCTCCTGACAATTTTTCCCTCCTTCGCGCAACGAGCGGTGCAACCGCGGATGCACTCGGGTGCATTCGACTACGCCGATCACGGTGCAGTGCGCAGCGTGCAATCTTTAACGAGTACCTACGGCTATGAAGCAACAGGGACAACGATATTTACGAACCCCTATTCTGTCATTGCGTCACGCACCAATCGCAGGGTGCGTCAATGCGATAGAAGCTGAGCCTGATAGCCAAACGACTAAGGGGACTATGGTATTGAAGAAAAAAAAAAAATTGTCAATGCTAAAATTTTTAACACTCACGTGCTTAGAGTGAGACGCATCCAGGCGCGTTGCGTCAGCAGCGTCGACGCATTGCGTCGGGCTGGCCTTCAGAGCTGCTTTTAAAATCCGTACATCTACCGACCGACCGACCCCTAAAGTCCCGTCGCGCACACCACTTTGCCCCGTCACGCACTTTCAAGTACTTCTCTCTCTTTCTATATATATTTTTCTCTCTGTGTATATATATATCCTTCTCTCTCTATCCTTTTTACTCCTTAGCTTTCACCCTCGTCTTCGTTTTCTTCGCTCGACGAGCACTCCACTTCGATTCTCCTCCTCACGATAATCCCTTAGTAAGCAACGGCTGCCACGAGGCTTCCTCAGGGTGCATCCACTTCCTGGTAATGTCCGCGACTCCCACTGATCAGAGCACTTCCGTCGTACCTTCGATCCCATCAGCACGAACTACTGGAGAAGCCGCGAATCAGCATCTATCCAGTCGCTGGTTAAGCCTGCCTTTTCAAAATGTTGCCTCTTTTCGTTCGGCCTCTGCAGTCTTTGGAACAGTGTTGAATTCACTGCTGCACTTTTACGATCTTAAAGAGACACACTGTATAATACACGTGTATATATATACGCGTATATACATTTACTTGTCACACTGTCACACCCGACAGATGCGAACAGCAACGAGACACCCTGTATCGTGGCTGTTAAAAAAAAAGTACTCTTTGATCCGTCACTATTCACTCGCGTACAGAATGTACATTTTTTATCCTTATCTTTGCTTTTGTTTAGAATTCTCTTCAGAGAGTAGCAAAGCAGTCGAAGACCCACTCGCGAATTTTAATTTATATTCTTTTACTTTTTCTTCTCCCTGCACCAAGGTCAAACGACGCGACACTCTTTCCCTCTCGACTTCCACTACCCACAGTGTTATCCTCCGGATCCTCTTAAACGCAAAGCAAAAAAGGAAGAATCTCCACGTGCGATGGCCGAACAGAGCGGGAAGTTGTCACAAGAGTATTCGCACGTAGAAAGCCCGTGCCAAAATACGGAGCGGACGAGTATCCAATGTCGATAATAATCCGTGATAGATGAAGCGATCCTCGTATCAATGTCTATGACACAGAAGAACGATCCTCAATCGTTGCAAGTGTTTTCCATAACAGCACGATGATATCCAGAACCAGTGATAGCGATCACCTCGAGGCGGATGGACCACATCGCGTCGAAGAGACGTAACGCCGACGTAAAGGTGCGCTTGTGCGTTCCAACCGAGAGAAATACGAATCCTCCGAGAGTCCAGGGTGCATCAGCGTCCAGTGTACACGGCAGTTATCCAGGTATCACCCCTTTCGTATATCCGAGGGAGGAAAGTAGAAAAAAAATAACAAACAACCAAGAGACAGACCCAAGAGAGAGTAGAGGAAGAAGGTAGAAGGAAGAAAAAAGTAAGGAATTATCCGGAAAATGTCGTTTGTAGAGAGCGCGATTTATCGCAGCCGAGATGCTGCCGAGATCACGGTTGAGCGAACACTGATTTTCGGCCCAGTAGAGTACGCTCGGTCTAGCCTCTGTTAGTAGGGTTAGGCCGAGCCGATCGGTTACGAGCGAACTGGGGAACCGACGTAGTCGTTGTCGCGGCGGCGGCGGCGGCGGCGGCGGGCGGCGGCACGTCACGTCACTGCACGGGCACGAGAAACAGCCGCACGTAAAAGAGTAGTCTCGACGGTACGCTTGTACGTTGTACACAGTACAGAGAGGCGCGCTCGGAGTCTCAGAGAGTCTCAGAGGCACGAAGGCTCGGAGGCGCGCGAGTCAGCCCCACTAGTGTTCTCTCTTCGGTTACCTGGCCGCTGCCACACCGCTGCCACACCGCTGCCCTGCTACTCGCCTAGAGAATATCCCCACCCCATGTCACCCCACCCCATCCCGACGGTATCATACACGCGGCTCCCCCTTCCATCGACACCCTCTAGTATACTAGTACTAATACCTACTAGTAGTAAGACTACCACCACACTGCTGCAATTGCCACCGTCGCTGGACACGCGTGTTGAGAATTTGGGAATTCGAGGAGATTCACAGCCAAGTACGAGTGACATGCAATGAGTGATTCGTGTGAAAGCTCCTTTTTGTTGACGGTTGTTCGAAAACAGGGGATCCGGACGGTCTTTTCAGAAGAGGGATCATGCGTGTGATCGAAACGTGCAAGTTGGATATGTTGATGGACAGATTGGCTGCTTCGGTAGAATGTATTAGCACTGCCTGGTATGTTGGTGGTATCAGCTACTTGTGATAGTGTCATTATGATGTTACGTAAGGGTGATGAGGTCTGTTTTGTCTTAGAGTCAACGGCATAATTATTTAATATTCGTTGCACAACCGGTTGCTCACGATGCTTCGTGTCATCGATGCTTCGCGAAGAGCGATCTGTCGCTCGGATTTTATCTATGTAATATTTGTATCTGTGTACTCTTTTTTTTTGTTTTCTATTTGCTGTATGCTCGTCCTTTTCTAACGATAGTTGCACGTTGGGCGTTGCTCTGTGTTGGTCGTAACCATGAAAACATGATGATTCCGACGAGGAGAGTTCATCGAGCGCGCACGACCAGTGACCAAAAGTCACGGAGAATTGAAAACAGACGGAGATAATTTATCAATCGTTGGCTGATTATTAGTGCGTGGTTTTGCCAACGCGACCACCAGTCACTCTTACTGGAGATTATACTTATTTGCGCGTCTATTTGCGGGGTGAGTTTATCACGAATATTATTTAGTTTGTGGGACGATGACGTTTTGAAAAATTATAAGGGTGTTGAAAAAAAATATTAAGTGACGCGTGGCAAACTCCAAATTGTGCTGTAGGGTGGGCATTGACTTTACACAGATATTTTTGGAGTTTATTTTTAGGTAATGTGGAACTGGAAATTATTTTGAAAAATTTTACCATCTTTGACACTGTTGTTTATTATGGCTAGTTAATTAGTTCTTCCTAATGCACCGTAACCTCGTGACCGAGCAACAAATGATAATGGGGCTTTCGTCATGGTTTTCATTAGTGGTTTCACGGATGCTGTTAAAAGCAACAATTTCGTTAAAATTCCGGCAGCTTGTCGCCAAATCTCTGTCCAAGTGCCTCAAATAAATCCTATTCGCCCGGCTACCGTTGCGTGAGAGAATTCAGTATTTTTCAGGGCCGTCCGAACTGACCAAAGTACCCCTTCGTAACAGTCATGCAACAACAGATAGAAAGTCACGAAAGATATCCAAGATGTACGTATACAAAAATCGCTCAGAATATTTTTAAATCTTTAAAATTGATATAAGATGCCAAAAATATGTGTTTGTGCTACCCTGAAATTTTTACGATTTTCTGAAAAGTGTTCCTAAAAACTAAAATGCACTTACGGCCCTGAAGATCGGTACGTTTGATCATTGCGAAGCATGTACCCTATCCGAGCTAATCTGGACCATTGGTGTCCAGCTACCTACACTACATCCACCTAAGCAATGTCCTTTGGGTCCTTTGGTCCAGGGTCCAAGAATCAGTTAGTTAAGATGCGGTTCTAAGGTCGAAGGAGAAGAGTGGAGAAGAACGGAATTAGGGGTGGGTGCATGCTTAATTACCAAAGGTGACAAGTGCCGGTCTCGTTCAGGTCCAGACTAAGGTTAGGTTAGGTTCGACGAAGTACCTGCAAAGTACCTGCCTTGCACCGGCACACCAGGGGCGTAAATCACAGGGACAATACATAGCGCCCTCCTTTTGTTTCCTAAGGAAACGAAGAATTAAGGAGACCTGCAATTTTACCAGGATCCGGGCGACATCGTCGCTCGAAAACAAGCTGGACTTTCAACCAAATGTATTTCCATGTGTATCGTGTCAGGTACTTGAGCTATTTTGGTACATATTATCAATGAACGATTACTCGTTCCAATATCTACATAATCATCGAAGAATTGAATGACTCAAGGTTACTCATAATGAAAAATAAGATTAAAAACTTTATTAATAAAATTTTCAAAAAATCCAATATAACGTATTTTTTTTCAAATTCTTACTAGCAACCAGCATGGTATAAGTTGACAATTATGACGATTTCCCTCAGGATCCCACCACATTCTTGAACACTTCCGTAACGAATAATCTTGTTATCATAACGTTACGCGTACTTGGCGCTAGGCATTATCAAGTATCTCGATCATCCGAGATAAAAGAGGATTTTATATTTCACACTGCGGTAATCGTTATCCTATCAGAAAAATTAAGAATGCCTTAGATTAGCTGTCAAGTAACGATACCGCAATCGGGTTTTTCTTATCCAGATTATTCAAGGCTAAATTTGGTGGTTCCCCGATAAAGGATCAAACGTGGATCCAAATATCATCGTATCCGTAACCACTGCCAGATAATGGATCACGAATATTTAAAATATCATTAAAATATTTTCCACACGAGTTGTATCTATTCGCGAGTCAAACATCGAGGAAAGTAGTTCAGATTCCATTTCACTCTGCGTCATACATGCTTTTACTACGTCAAGAGCGCAAGACGTATGGTACTGCGGTGCGTAAACCGCATTTAATCAGTTTGCGGTCTTGCGGTTCCCTCTTGTGCTTTAACAGAAATCCTCTTTTCACTTTTTCTCGATTACATCACGTTGTATTACTTCTCGCATACAGTGTGAAATTTTATTGTTAACTTGAATAGAATGACGTAGCCGAGACGTAACTCGATGATAAATCCTAATAAATAATATCGACACTAAGCACTCTAATTATAACCAATAAATATAATAATATAAATGCATAAACCGGATAGAGGTTGAAGGTTCATGAGATAATCGACTTGGCCAGCCTCCCTCTATTTTGGTATGCACATGAAAACGGTCCAGACAGCTACAGGGACAGCTGTCCAGGAGTTGGGTAAAATTAAATAATAACGCTTATCTCATTTACCTAACGGTCCACTCTTTTGAGTCCTGCAGGATCTGAGAATATGTGAAGAAAACTGGTAGGAGGTAACGCAGGTACATTTTATTACGTCATAACGTGCCAGGAGGTGCATATACTATACCTATAGCATATATACATATATATATATATATATATATATATATATATATATATATCCATAGTAGGATCTCAAGACCGAAGATTTCAGGCAGGATCCAGTCAAAGGATATACCATGGTCCAACATGGACCCCTGTGTGGTCCATTGGCTCTAGGTCAAGTTATTACCTCGATTCGAAAAACTTTTCCCTTTATTTCAAATTCGTCAAGGTATCCCACAAGACCCAACCGTCGCAACTATGATCTTCCAATAGTGAATCTACAGCCGATATATTTGATAAAAATTTGAAAAAATAAAAATTCAATCATCTCACAAGCACTGACTATCCTCAGGCTTGTAAGATGGGACGAGAGATCAGATCTGCTGGGCTGCATCGATCATAGTAAGAATTGCGTAAGGTTTCCAATTAAGAAAGGTACGCGAGGAACAGTAAATTTTTATTTCGCCGTTCCTCAGTGTCAAACTCGTCCAAATCGAAGAAGGCAACGGCTGTAGCATTTATACCGAGTACCGTAAAGCATATATACATATATACCCAGAGACACGCCGTACAAGACATTTTAATTATTCCTCAAGCCAAGAACGGCATTTTCACGTCGACACTTTCGTTTCAAGAGCGGCGATAGATTCTCAAAGTATAGGGCGATAACAGGTCGGCCTTAAGGTCGATCGCGAGGATGCGGGTCCTAAAACCGAAGACGTGCCGATCCCCTACGGGCACCTTACACGTATCCCTACCGTGGTGCCCCATAAGTCCTATACTCCCGTAGTCGATGCCCATAGGAGCTATCGTTATGCTCATCACTGTAATAAACCCCACGGTTTATGTTCTACCGAACGACTAATTGATTTACGAAGTAGCTATGGATTTCTTAGCCACCACTTTGCCTTACATCTTACGTCTACGTATCTCCCATATCTTAACAGGATACCCTTTTATCTCTCATTGAGACAAGGATAAGATTCGCATTGGACAGGATCCATGCAAATTTCTATACGGTATACATAAACTACGGTATACTCGCTTCAAGTTACGTATACTATATCAAGCGACTGCAAGCGATCGAGTAACTTTCAAAGTTTACCCCGAAGCGCAATTTTCAAAATTTTATGGACGTCTATACGATCATCCCATTTATCCTTGGTATCCCGTTAACCACTGTTGCGCGTAAAGGCTCCCAACGTCTTAATGGAGTCATTGAATTAAACCGAAGTCCCAATAATGACTCTGTCTGGTTTATGTGCATTTCTCGTTTTATTAGCGTAAACTTAGCCTACCATGGAGTTCCTTATTGAATCTTCCGTAAGAGGGTGAAATCTGTTTACTATATATGTACCTTTGACGATCACCAAAGAAACGTAATGAGTTAATGACACCCATTTCCATCTATCACGAAGCTACCTCGTTAACTCATTATCTAATGATTATAATTGGTAGAACCTTTTTCACTGTATAATGACATCCCAACCTCCACTGTCGATTCGATCCTACGTTTCGTGTACGTTACAGGAGCTGCTAATCGCAGCATCCTTTTCGCCATGGACCCACCGCAGCTCCGTGACACCAGGACTTGCTGCTGCAATAACATTCGCGCCTCTACGACAACACGTATCCTGGGACGAGTGTTCCACTCTGCAACAACAATACTGCATGTGTGGGCCGGTCCAGCGGTTCTCAGGTGCAGCTGTGACAGTAACACCTGTACATTTTTTTTTCTCTTTT